CTTTTCACAACTTCTTGTCCTTTGCATTCAGCAAGGTCTCCATGTTTTCATTAAGTGAGCTTTTGATTAACCTAAGACAGTATTTTCGGTGTAATTGATGATAGAGTCAGGGATCACAGCCCACAGTCAGTATCTCTGGCCTGAGAGGAGTGTGTTTCAGAACCCTGTGTGCTAAATTCGTCTGACAGCTGGCTGACATGGGGAAACTGCAACACGGTGCCCGCCACTAATTCATAATCAGCCATCTAATACACCGTTGCCACAGTGATTTAATTGTCATTTGTCACGGCTGTTGTTCCCGCCACAACAAACGTCAAGATAATGATCATTTCCAGTCTGCCACCCGTCACGCAGCCTTCCACATCTGATCGAACGTTTCTTAGGTGCCAATATTATTTTCTTTTTTCGCCAAATGAATATGTAATCCTCTCTTGTCTGTTACTTTATTTTTTTTTATTTTTTGCTTAATCATTCTTGCTGCCATCTCCGATTAGGTTCATGATGGGAATTAAAGAGGTAAACCGAGTCTTATTTGGATCTAAGAATAAAAAAAAGGCTGGGAGGTGTTGCAGTCAATCAATAGTGCTTTGGCTCCTGACACAGCGGTACCTCACTCCAGACACGCTGCCTTCAGAAAAGCCATTTGCCCACTTTTTTTAAGGTATCTGCTGATATCCAATCCTCACAGGCAAGCGTCCCTTTGATTTAAAACCTAGTCAAGAGACTTATTTTCTAAAGTGTCAGACGAGCGGCCGAGCGGGAAGCCACGGCAGGTGTAGTTGATGATATGCCAACTGGAAATGGTTTTCCCCTTGATTTGAAATATTCCGAGGTGCACCAAAAGGGAGAGTGTGCCGCGCTGGTCCCGTGAGGAAGCCTTCTCTCCAATCCTCCTTTGATAATTGCTATGCAAAGGTTCTAGAAATGAATTACTGATCAGCCGAGTGTTGCGGAGAGCCAACGTGTGGGGGAGACAGAATGAGGGATTGCCACAAGACCCTGCCACAAAACCCTGAAATAGAATATGTGTGTGTGACAAACACACATCCACAATGAGAGTGTACACACTGTTGGTGCATGCTCTGCATATGTGTGCATATGAATGTGCACATCCATATTTACTTATGCAAACGCTGCAGAAATTCATGGCAAATACACGTGCCATACTTAGTTTTTGGTCTTAGTCAACTAAGATTTATTTTTACCATCCTTTTTTTTTATGGTGAAGAACCCTATCAGAACATCTTTAGTAAACACGATATTTCAAATGGTGGGCCATTTGGTAGAGCTGGCAGTACTCTTGTTATTACCCCTATCTCACACTTTCATATGGGAAGATCACTTATAAAGACTTAACTGGTCCTAACAATTCGTAAAAAAAAAAAAGATTGTAGATGGTGCTCTTGCATGATTCTTGGTGGAACAACTTCGTTTTAGAAATGTTGTTGATTAAGCCACTTGATCCAAGCTTTTGTACACAAATTGGGCGAGTGGGACTGAGGTAGTGCGGTCGTCTTTCAATCGGCATGCCAACGGTGTGTGAATGTTAGCAAGTGGCACACTGCTCTGTATTAATGGGGCGTGAATGTTTGAATGATGACTTAATGGTGGGGTAGGTAATTCTGGAGAAACCAGCTCGAGTGCGCTAGAATTTGAAAATACACAGCCGGAACAAATCTGCCACTTCCTCACAGAGCCCCTCCTCCAACACACACAAACGCGCACATGACCAATGAGGGCACGAGATAAGTTTGTGCACAGATGGAAGGCTGACAGGCAGGTAGGCCATACAGTTATTTTAGCCGGGCCGGCTCAGATGATTGGTCGTGCTTTTTACAGTACTACGGCTTCCACAGATGACATTTTTTATGGATTTTTTGTCAAAGCACTTAAGATATTCGTTGCTATCGGATGTTAAGAGCATTCCATGGAATATAACAAAAAGTGTATCTCGAGCCGGTTTCTGAAACTTACCTACCCCACCTTTAAGCAGAGGGGGTCATAAGGACTGGATACAATGCTGTATAAAATATGGTCCATTTGTCGTCAAAATCGCATGTTAGTTGACTTATCATTTATTTAATTGTGGACAGCTTGAAATGTAACCAGCATGAAACCCCTATACACACAAAACACACACACATATCATACAACCCACAGTAGCCAAACAATAATGTTCTCATCCCTATATAAAGGGAGTCTCTTGTATGCCTATATAGAGGCAGTATGCAGTGCTCATGGCAGAGTGCCAGGCACTAGCTACCACTCTATCTCACTTTAAACTGAATCTCATTTAAGCTTTCCATAGCCCCGCCTCAAAGGATTCAATACAGACATCATCACCTAGCCTCTCTTTCTCCTACACAAAACACACACAAGCGGATTACATACAGGTATTATACGCCTACATAGTAATCCAGTCAATGGCATACCTTTTATAGACACACACACACACACACACACACACACACACACACACACACACACACACACACACACACACACACACACACACACACACACACACACAACACACACACTCACAAACCCACACACACACAAACACACACACACACACTCCATCTGGTTTTGCTGTTTACAGAAGTATGTGAAACTCAACTGTCCCTCTTTCCAAATACCACTCACTAGATATTACCTCCCATGGAGCGATAAGCTGTTCCCTTCTAAACCCAACATGATGAACAAATGTTGGTTTGCTCGTGGAGCGAACAGAGCACAGAACCAACTGGGTACAGAACCAACTGGGTACACTCCACGGCCAGCGCCAAATGAGCGCCCTTGTAGCCAAATAAAGCTGGGAAGCATGTTCTCGGTTCATTAATATGGTCCTTTTAAATATGCGACCAGTCAGAAGGATTTCACGGCAATTACTTAGCATAAGATATGTTTTAAAGGGGGCCTTAAGAAAAAAAAGAGTTTGTTAGAGCTTCGGTATGTATTTATATCATATTATTATTATATATTGGGTACTTGTGAAATAAGACAACCCATTTGATTATTTTCAGAAAACATTAGATATTTTTGCAATATTGATTGAATTATTGAAGTATTTAGTAAAAATGTTATTAGTTTTTTTCTTCGCAATAAAGCCTATAAGTAATCAGAGAACACCAGCCTACAGTATATTTGAGTATCACCAATTACTGCTTAATAACAACCTTTGCAGTCGGTCTTAAAGAGACAGGCGCTAAAACGGATTGTTTATTGGATTTAGTGGATTCATCTTCCTATTATACACACATGCATTTCCAAACATTTGGACTACCTATGTTGCAAATGTATTATCTTTTCAATTTACACACGGCATCTATTGCACGTCTGTCCTGTCCTGGGAGAGGGATCCCTCCTCTGTTGCTCTCCCTGAGGTTTCTCCCATTTTTCCCTTTAAACTGTGGGTTTTCTCCGGAAGTGTTTCCTTGTACGATGTGAGGGTCTACGGACAGAGGGTGTCGTATTGTCATACTGATATTCTGTACACACTGTGAAGACCACTGAGACAAATGTAACATTTGTGATATTGGGCTATATAAATAAACATTGATTGATTGATTTATGTTAGAAGGTAAATAAAGTATATTGAGACAGCCAGTCTGAGAAAAATAAGGTTTTTTCTTCAAATGAAAGCATGTAAAGACTTTTTGATAGAAACCCAAAACACAAGTATGAACCAAAAAGTGACCATAAGTTGTCGCCTTTAAGGGCTACCTTATCACTAAATGATGTTGACTGCTAGATACATAGTTTAAGATGCATCGCAAATTCATTAAATTATCTTCTTTGTTATACCTTCTCTATCTCTTGAAAATCTGTTAAAAAAATAACTCACATACAACTCGGAATGTATGATTAAACGCCCTTGTTAATATGTATTCCACAAAAACAACTACTTTTCAGCGAAAAAGAAGCAAGCCTTTTGGATTTCTTCCAATTCTGTATTTCAGTCTCGCACAGATTTGACCTTCCAAGCCTGCTTTATCAGTGAGGGCAGGCAGTGACTCCACCGCTGCATATCGGCTCTCTATTTTGGCTCGGTTCATTAATAATGTCAAACATCATGGAGCCTGATGAGCACCATTCACTATCCTACAACACCTATCTAATCCAGTCTATTTGTATTCTCAGCACTGATATTATATTTGGCAGGCTCCGGTCTAGACAGGGGTCTTACTGCAGTCACGTGGAACAATTCCTCAGAAGGAAAAGGGCAATTCAATATGAAATGAGATTTAGTTTGCTCCACTTTTTTGTCTGACTCCACTTTGATCAATAAACAGGTACTAACCTAATCGAATTTGAGGGAGAACAGGACGAGGCTTATGATAAAAACGTGTCTAAAAGGGGGGAAAAAGTACTGCATTGTAAATTGTAGAAGAGAGTAAGTAAACAAAGCTGAAGTGCGGGAAATGTTCTCTAATTCCAACATTTTATGTTTGCCTTAACTTGTGCCAAATCTGCAAAGATTTTGCCAACAACACAAAGAACCCAAAAGCTGCTGATGTCCTTGCTCAGCTGAATCCATAACCAACAAAGGCAGTACAACACTCCGACTGCGTGGCTTATTGAAACGCATCTCATTATATCAATTTAGATCCGCCTTTTCCCTTTCACTTGAGAGAACCTATTGATTTGTGCCACTAAAGCACTAAGGGCCTCAAACGGCCTCTCTGCGAGTCGCTGTCCTTTCAGCACCACTCGTGAGAAAGAGAGAAAGGCAAAGAGAAAAAATCTCTCCCAAATATTCCTCCCTTTCATCCGGGTGTGAAATACAATCAACACTTCTGGGGCTCGCTCATGCCAGGCAGGGGCCCCGGCATTCACACTCTCAAATTAAGGAAATTAAAAACCACCGGTCCGCACCACAAACTCAGAATGATCACATTCACAATTGCAAACACACTCTATGGAAACTGGAGGATTGGATGGTGTATGTGTGGGTAATGACAGTGTCATTTGGTCTGCTTGGGCGGGGTTGGACTCACCGGCAGAATGACCCCGGTTGGTGGCATCATGGTCACTGTCGCCCTGTTCGCTGTCGCCATGCCCGCTGTCTTTGGAGCTAACTATGTCTGCCTCTTGGAATGCAGAGCTGTAGGAGGTGGGGGAGGGAGGTGGTGTCAGAAAAAACAGAGATGAGAATAATGGAAGGGTCAAAGACAGAGGTCAAGAGACAATATTAAGAAGAGAGGGGTGGAAGAGAGGAGAGGAGGATTAAATGAGGGGGCAGAGAGAAAGAGAACCAGAAATCAACACCGCGTTAATACAGTCACGGTGGCCGTCAAGAGGCGAAATTGGATGTTTCACATGGCATGTAATGAAATCCAGCATTAGAGGCGTAATAGGCCCTGCTCTGTCAGTTATGGGACGGATGCCAAATTGAAGATGAACGTTATGGAGACATTGGGAACCATGTAGCCTCTCAAAGCCACAATTAACGATGCAGAGTATACGGGACTCACACTGATGGATGTAATATTCAATTTTATAGATCTGTGAATAGCCTGAGCTCCATGAGGCCTATTGGATGTTACAGGTCCTCTGGTGTGAGGCTCATAGGCTCAGCACGTTGGCAATAATAATACGGCGTGTGTGTTTGTGTGTAAGTGCTGAGGTGTGTGCTTTTGAATACCTGTTGACACGTCTGGGCCGGTCCACCAAGTAGCTGAGTTCTGCTCGTTGGTGTTTCGTCTACAAAAAACAAACACATTTGATTACAGTTAATGCTAAATACACACATTAACAAATAAGCAGGGTATATACAGCAGTATAGCAATAATGTGAATATCCTCAGGTACAAGTACAAATCCAAAAGTACTCATCATGCATACAATTCCATTTCCGAATGACATTATAATTATTGATAGATCAATTATCACTTTAATTATGCATCTAATTAAAATGTGGCTAATTGGAATATACTGCTTGGTAGCTTAACCCTCCATTATTCATCATTATGCATTAATTATTAATCATCCCAAACTGCAATGTAACTATAGCTGTCAAACTAAATGTAGTGGAGGATATTTGCTTACAAAATATAGAGCACCTCCTATGAAGTACATAAACTCAAGTACAAGTACCTAAACATGCTACCAAATGTACTTAGTCAAATTCCACCACTGAGTTTCATTCTCATACATTGGCTGTCAACGCGTTAACGGTGATGGAATGAGCTAGGAGGAGGAAGGAGGAGTGGGGTGGGGGCGTCAGTGCGCGCATCCACTCGGTGAGTGAGTGGGCGAGAGGAGACAGGAGCAGGGGAGAGTGGGTTAGGGGAGGCGACTGAATGCGTAAATGATTGAGCCGCGCGACGCTGAGACTGAACAACCTTTGTTCACGGTGCTGCCGTGCAGGCTCGTGCGCAGAATACTTAACGCGCAGCAAAGGCAATGCTGTGTGTGACTGGCTACACTCCAGCCCTGCAGCGCAATCAACAAAAAAGCTCCACAAAAAAAGTCCAAAGCTCCCCCAAGCAGAATGCACACAAAACAGCGCTATCAAGTCCCCCTTCTCTTCATGCTGATACGAGCAGCCCACACTTTAAAACCTAATAAGATTAAGAATATATCCGCTGCAAACGCCTGTTCTTTATGAGGGTAAACTAATTAAGGCTGCTGATGTAATCTAACTGTCTCGCAAGCATCTTGGCAATTGTCTAAACTCAAATGAGTGTGCATGTGTCATTGTTCCACTCCCCTCACTATGGTCTGAAACACATTGCCATTCGGGTAAACCACATATTGAAAACCGAAGTCAGAGGTTTTAACTTTTTTTTGTTTATGGATTTATTTCAACACAGAATAATCCCTTCCAACTCTGGTTCGCCAGTAAAATGATCAGCAGTGTATACCCAAAAGTCAAACTCCCTGTCACACTCAGCCTTTTGTGCACGACCCCAAAGGTTGATCTGATAGAACCAATGCCGCGAATGAAGCCAAAAGGCCACGCAAGATTCGAACATTGACATGTCCAATCACCATTACGCATGACAATGATTAAAAGGCCACCGAGCATGACAGCCAAGTCAATAGCAGATACTCCCCTCCCCCCCACACACACATCCTCTCGGGACTTGTGTTGCGCGTGACCTGGGTGGATAACAGACTTTGACGTGAAGCAGAGAGCGTGAATCTCTGTAGATATTTATGATCTGGGTTGAATCATGGGTGGTTTCCACTTTCAGTGATGGCTGATTCAAGCTGCTCTTACCTCATTAGAGAGGATGCTGCCGTTGGATATGATGTCCGGCTGCTGGTCACTGTAACCCGTCACTATGGCGCCGCAGGGGTTGGTGTGATCCGTATCCGTGCTGCGGGAGGGGCTGCACGGTTTCAGGAACATCAGATCCGTTTTGGCTGACTCCGGTGTCAGACACACCTGGTAGCAGTAGGAGTTCTGGGTCTGGTGGTGGGAGCCGAAGCCCCCTCCCACGCCGCCCACACCAGACTCCTCCACGGGCACCTGCCCCACGGGCCCGACCCCTGACGTCACGTTGGTGCTCTGGACCAACATGATGTCGGATTTGCTCAGCTTCTTCTGCTTCCGGCCGCGGGCCTGCCTGCTGCAGCACGAGCCACAGCACATGCAGCACTCTCCGGCTAGCAGGCAGGTGTACAGGTCGATCTTCTTGTCCTTTTGGCAGCGCACGGCCAGCACGATCATGGCCAGGAGGAAGATGAATGACACAGAGCCCAGGGCAATGATGAGGATGAGGGTGAGGTCAAGGGAGGTCTCCTTCGCCTTGGAGGCCGAGCCGCGGTCCCCACTGCGGCCCTCCACCACGCTGTCCACTAATATTACACTCACACTCGCAGAAGAGGAGAGAGGGGGCTGCCCGTGGTCTCTCACCTCGATCAGAAGGTCGTAGTAGCCCTGCGGGTCCCTCTTGGGGGAGATCCTGCGGGCTGTCCTCAGCTCCCCCGTCCTCCAGTCCATGCGGAACATCCCCATCTCGTTGCCCCGCAGAATGCTGTAGGACAGCCGTGCGTTCTCGCCATCATCCGAATCCATAGCCATGATGCGCGTCACCAGGTACCCGGGCTCAGCAGAGCGCGGCAGGTGCTCTTTGGCTGTGCCGTTCTTACCGATGGGGGCTATGACAGTGGGTGCGTTGTCATTCTGGTCCACTATGATCACATTGACAGTGGAGTTAGAGAAGAGCTCGGCAGTGCCACCGTCTTTAGCATGCACCATGAAACTAAACTCCTTCAGCAGCTCGTAGTCAAAAGAGCGCAGCGCGTAAAGATAGCCGGTGTCCTGGTTTATGGATACATACGTGTCCACGGACATGCCCTGTATTTCACACTCCAATATGGAGTAGGTAATGAGAGCATTTTGTCCTATATCAGGGTCCATGGCACTCACAGCGTGGATGAAAGCCCCGGGCACGTTATTCTCAGTCACATAAACATCATAAACAGCCTGCGTAAAGCGGGGCGCGTTGTCGTTCTCATCGGAGACGTGCACTTTGATGGACTTGCTGGTGGCGAGCGACGGCTGCCCCTTATCTTTGGCCACCACGGTGATGGTGTAGGAGTCTATGTTCTCTCTGTCCAGCGGTCCATCTGTCACGATAGTGTAGTAGTTCTTAAAGGAGGATTTGAGCTTGAAAGGAACGTCTCCCAAAACCTCGCAGCTCATGTGTCCATTTTCGCCGGAGTCCCGGTCTGAGACGCTAAAAAGTGCGATGACGGTGCCCGGGGCGTCCTGCTCGCTCACGGACTCGGTCACAGTGCTGAAACCAATCTCCGGTGTGTTGTCGTTCACGTCCACGAGTTTCACCAGCACTTTGCAGTGCGCGGGGACCGCATTAGCCCCCATGTCTTTAGCTTGGACGTAAATCTGGTGCGTGCTGCTCTCCTCGTAGTCCACCTCTCCCGCCACCTCTATCCTACCTGTCCTGGCGTCAATGTTGAATAAGTCCTTTATCCGCGGGCTGTTGTGACTGCTGAAAGAATAAACTATTTCCCCGTTTTGTCCCTCGTCAACATCTGTGGCGTTGAGCTGGATGATCAGAGTGCCCACGGGAGAGTTTTCCCGCAGATTCACAGAGTACACTGACTGGTCAAAGGTGGGCGCGTTATCGTTCGAGTCCAGCACTTTAACGACCAGGAGAGCCGTCCCGGTGCGCTGCGGGATGCCCCCATCCACAGCCGTCAGCACGTACCGGTGCACAGCCTGCTGCTCCCGGTCCAGAGACTTCTCTAGCACCAGCTCCGCGAACTTGTTCCCGTCACTCTGTGTCTGCACGTCAAGGTAAAAATAGTTATTGTTCGTGATGGCATATGTGCTGAGAGCGTTCGTGCCCACGTCCGGGTCGAAGGCGTTCTCTACCGGGAAACGGGTCCCGGGGATGGCACTCTCCGATATTTCCACGGAAATGTCCGTCTCAGGGAAGCTGGGTGGATTGTCGTTGATATCCATCACTTCAATTTCAACGCGAAACAGCTCCAGCGGGTTCTCCAGAAACACCTCCAGGTGCAATAGGCACGGGGTGGTTTGCTTGCAGATTTCTTCTCGGTCGATTTTCTCCTTCACCACAAGCGCTCCGTTCTCTAAGTTCACCTCCAGATAAGGTGTCCGCGAACTGGGCACCGTCTGGAAACGGCGAGCGGAAAGTTTGGTAATGTCCAGCCCCAAATCCTCTGCAATATTCCCAACCACGGAGCCAGGCTCCTGCTCCTCTGGCACGGAGTAGTGTAGCTGAGAAACAGCTCCATGCAGGATGGAGAGAAGGAGTATTAACCAAATCATCTCCTCTCACAAAGTGCACTTCAAGATGGAAAAAAAAAGTGTTATTCCTTTTTCTTACAATACATTTGCATTTCCCATTTCCTCCGTCCGAAAAAAGGCAGTGAAATAAACAGCAACAAGGCTGCACGATTGTGAAATTCCTCTCCTGTGCCTCGGGTTAGTGGAACATTGTGTCGTTTCAGCTGTGAGAAGCACAGCCATTTGATCCGAGCTCCTCTGTTTTAATCAATTCTGCACCGGTCTGTGAGTTTTGGCGTCAGCGCAAACATTGCAGGCTGCAGCCAGGACGCATAGCCAACACTCCCTGTGCTCAGAACAGACAGCCTCTTCTTCACACAAAGTCACAAAAAGACATAGGAAATTCCACACGAGTAGGGAAAAAAGTCCTGCTTTTACGCACTGCAAATCTACCACAATGCAACTTCTAAATAAAGCCTCGCGAATCTCTCCCTCTATCTCTCTCTGAGAGCATGTAATCACTGCGCCTAAGCGCTCAAAGCGGATGATGTTTGCAGCTCGGCTTCTGTAAGGCGACTGTGAGCAGCGGGGTTGGTTTTGCGCACAGCTCCTTTCCCCACCAGCCAATGGTATGCTCAAACACCGGCTGTAATGGCACCTGATTGGGGCTCCGCGACGCCAGCCAGAACACACACCGGGCCCCTCATAACAAAACCAGTTAAGTGCCACTGCGCTCCTCTCTCTTCTCCCCTCTCTCCTCCGGGTCCGGCCGCAGTTGTAGCAGGGAAATTAAATGTTTTACACATCCAGTGAATTAAGAAAGTCGAATAACTGTGGCTGACAGTTGGCAAAGCCTGTGCGGATAAAATTGCAACGAGTGCTGGAATTTCTGAAATATCATACTATAAACAATGCTTTTATTCATTTTAATCATAACATAATGTTATTTTCTTCACCTCTAGTGTAACGAATGGATGTGAGATTACTATACAAAGTACAATGACTGTCATGAATTTGCCCTTTACGCAATTTAATCTACCATCTACCCCTCTCTCTCTCTCACTCTTTCTCTCTCGATAGAAACACAAATGCACACTAGGGGGGCAACAGTTGAAAGCATTTTAAATGAAGTAATATCTCCTGTGTTGTTTGCTCGCGAGCATCAGTGCGATCCGAGGTTCCATCAGAGAAGCATCACACACGACTTCCTTTAATTCAGTGTAATGAAGCACCATGCTTTAGTCCCACCGTGTTGCTAATAGCGTGGAATCTATTAGTTCCCCTATATTCGCATTCTTATCATTAACCCCCCCCCGCTCCACACCGTAGGCCTACTGGCCTTAACTGTAGTGAAGTTGCATCACACCCTAATTTAATTCATAAGGCATACATTAAAAATGCAAATGGGGAGTAGTAGCGGGGGTCTAACTACTTATTGGAGGATGATGTCAAAAATATGAAAAAGAGCGTAATTGAGGATAATTAGCATACGTCTCTGATTCCAAATGTAATGCAACAATGTCGGCCAGTTAATGCAAAGCGAAGTGCCCATTGTGCGGCGGATTAAACAGCGCGAGATTCGCGATTCTGCATCTCGCCATAGAAGTCAGAAAGAAACAAAAGAGGAGACGTTAGATGAATTTTCAGCCTTGTCTGAGCCGGAGCTGTGTGACTGAATCGAGCTGACACTGGAGTCGGATCTCGG